TACATCACCTTTAAAGCAGCACTCTAGTTGTGTCTTTTCACTCTCACAGTCTCACTCTAGTGTAGTTTTTTCAACCTTTTATAATATTTTTCCAAAACCCTTGAGATGGTACAGTACATCGACTTACAATGACGGTTGAATGACAGGTCTGCCATAGCCTGACGTGGTCTGTATCGCTTTTACTGGCACTCTGTAACTTTTTAATTGCTTATGCTTATTTTAGGAGCAACTGCTGAAGAATCCGTCCTCGGGAAAGTGCCTCCATAAGAAGGGAGACAAGATATTAATGAGCCCCTGCAATCCAACAGACCATCACCAGCAGTGGGCTTTCAGTTGACCTCACACTCCAACCGAGGAGCAAGGACGTTCACTCCTATAAGACCAAAGAGGGAGGCCAGCCGCCACAGCTCGCTGTAGGCCTGAGCAAATGCACTGGATAGTTCATATCCACAAGCTCCCAAAGACATGGTGATCAGGATGCTCGGGGAAGACAGAGTGGAGATCATGGAGCATTGGAGAGTGAACATTCCGGCAGCAACATTGTTTACTTGATGCATTTTATTGCCTGATTGATGTTTACTGCTGCTTTTAATTGGTGTAGGTTTTATTTATTTTTAAAGAAATGGAAAATGAAATATTTTTGGAACATTGCTAGTGTTAAGGCCAATGAACGGCCGACCTTGCCAACGATACATGTGATGTTTGTGTGATCCAAATCATTTGCACATGCTGCAGGGGATGTGGGTTTTGTTCAGCTGTACTAAATTGTCACAAGGCACCATTGGTTTCAGGTCCTTCTCTTGTGTCTTCAAACTTAAAGCTGTCTGAATGTGAAGCAGCATCATGTGACTTGTATAACTTGGTTGTGGGAAATCGTGCACTAAAAATGAATACATGTAACTATCTGTTTCATTGTCCTCACCTTTGTGGTCCTTCACCATTGTTCTTTCTATATCTTGAATACTACAGATTATTTGAATCTGTAGATTGGAGCTTTCTAATGTTTTATTTGGAAAAAAATATACACTCCCTGATCACTATTTTTGGTGGTGTTTTTTCAAAACCAATTTTGATTTTGTTTGCTCTTTAAAATATGGAGTATGCATATAAAGGTACACACACTGTGGAGACCAGACCATCATAGATGCAGAGACTAGATGCCCTATGGGCTCTATGCACGGAGGTATTTCCGGTGATGGTCTAAGGATAACTTCCGCCGATCGTTGGGTCCAATGCAATACCGAGAATTTATATTGAATTTTATATTCCATGGTTATACTAAAGAAACATTAGTCACAAAAACAGACCCCAAACCCCTCGTTGTGTTTATGCTTATTTTTAAAATTATATTAAATAAACATAACTAAATTGCATCTAAACGTATGAAGGTTTCGTTTCAAAGACGATAAAACAGTAATTTTTGAAGACTTTGCCATAATCCCGTTTTCCTAGGTTTTCCTCCCTAACCGGAAATTAAAGAGCATCCTTGCGTCAAATGCGGAAACCTGGCCGCCATCTTGAACCGGTCGATTCCAGAGCACCGTGCAGCATATTCCTGCTCAAATCGGCGGACTATCGCTCAGGAATTACTTTCCACAGGTAAGATTTAAGATTTCACATAACCGTACTAGCTATTGGTTATATTTTGTGAAAAAAATATCCCATGTGTCCTGTATCATAGCTACATGTATGACCTTCACAGCAAAATCCCGCGTGAAAATCAGTTCGGAATTTAATTTAGTGAGATGATATCACCTGCCAAACACTGAGTTGAGCGGATGACCTGACCGTTTAAGATGGCTGTAGTAGCGGTCGTTAGGGCGTCTATCTATCTAATTAAATGATGTCTATGGAGACCATAGTTTAAACCAACAAACCAATATTCTGATCAACCGCACCTACTTGTAATTTTCAGGTAATCCTCAAATTCCGATTAGCTTGTTCAGGTGTACTTTATTAGGGTTTTGTGGACCTCCAGCTGACTAAAAATTGTGATATTTTTTTGTGATATTAATTGTGAAAGAACTGCGTATTCAACATAGAAATATTCTCTAACAATACAAATATTTGCTATCAATGTTTATCAATTTAACATCCTTACTGAATAAAAGTATTAAGTCCATATATGAGTTCAGACGCAAAAGCCTCTAAATGCCATTTGAAATTTTCTTCTTTAATAATGATTTTTATCAAACTTGTATATTTAAGTTCAGTAATTTCACTTAAATAACAATTAATAAGTAATTATCATTGCCATTTAAGTGAAATCACTGAAATTAAATATACAAGCTTGATAAAAATGATCATTCTAGAAGAAAATTTCAAATGGCACTTAGAGGCTTTTGCATCTGAACTCTTCATATATAGGCTATATATATATATATATATATATATATATATAAATTTATAGTTTATACTATACTATATTAAAATATTATATTATACTGACCAGCCTTTTGAACGGTAGCGTATTATTACAAAAGACTTATATTTTAAATAAATAATAAATCGGCATAGAATGATTTGTAAAGGATCATTCATGTGACTTGACTGGCGTAATGGCCAATGAAAATTCAAAAAACATTAAAAATAGTAACATGTCCAAACTTTGACCGGTAGGCTGCTACTGTCAGAGTGCCATTATTAAATTAATTTCTCTGTGATATGTGGTCAGCGGTTGAAGCAAACCATGGCATTTCCATTTCCCACATTCACCAAAAGGAGGCAGGCGACTTCATATTTTTTTGTTTAAGAGGGTTGTAAAAAAAATAAACTCTGAGAAAATGAAGGTTGTTCGTTGAAGATCTTTACAGGTAACATGCTTTATTGCTTTCATTGATAGCGTACTATCGGGCCGTGAGAGTAAGTGCTGTTGAACCAGCAGGTTTAATCCGATCGTTTGAGCTGGAGTTCTCATTAAATTTCTAACTTTTGTGTTTGTATAGATCGGCCGCTTTTCAACCTTTATCTCCTTAAATATTTACCAGAGTTTCCATAGTTTCCGCCAAAACACAAATTACGATTGTAAAATCATAAATTATGCTACTTCAAACAATAGCCTAAATCTTGTTATAGCCTACATTCAATCTTATCTTTTATCTTTGTGAAGTCTGATGGCAGGTTTTACATGTGTTAACATAAAATAAAGTTGTATTAGTAATATTTCTGCGAAAAATAAGGGTCAGGTAACAAGGGTCAGGCGATACTGCACAATTTATATAAAGGCACTGCATGAGTGATTCTTTTATGTCACCATATGCCTCATTTGCCTTCATGCTTCATTCAACAGACTATTAGTAAGTATAATAAGTAGATATTTTACAACATGCATGAATAATCCTTCTTAACCTTTTATTTAAATATATTTGTTTTTAGTTTATACAAATATTTCATAACATTTTAGTAATTCATAGTTTTTTTTGTGACGCCACACCTTACATGGAACGCACCCCTGCAAAACAAGGCTTTTCCTCCATTGCCTATCAGTCACTTTTACCACATTTGTTCTAACTTAGTACTAATGAAGTAAGAAAGTGATATTAAAAGATATTAAAAATCAATATACACCTTATTGAAATGCATACTGTGTACAGGCAAGCAGACGAACCCAGAAAATAAATGTGATGTGCAGTTTCTAATTTTTCCTTAGAAAACTATTTTAAACATAAAGCTTGACCATTTAGCACATTTAGCATATTCTGGGCTCGACTGTCATCAATAAAGCTTGTACTGAATTTGATATTTTAATATCAATGTTAGTAGTTTAAGTGTTTCAGAATTTCTGAAAAGTTATTTCTGAGTGATGTCATGATTGTAGGCTATCTATCTAGGTGAATGATGTCTGTGTCATTCAGCAGAGGCTCATACATAAATTGGAGATTGGGTGTAGGTATTGTGCTCATCTGGAATCCCTCCTAAAGGCAAAAAAGGCAATATATGAGAAATGCAAAGCTTATAGGATAGCTGTGATGATTAGTTAAAAAAATAGTATAAAAAAAGTAAAAATGTCCAGATGTTTTGGTCCCGTTGTGTTGTTATCGTGTGGGAGCAGTTTATGGTAGATTTGGAAGAAGATGGTTATGCTTTTCTCCTTGTTTATGTCTTTGCACTGAAATAATAATAATAATTACATGATAATTTCTGTTTCATTTTCAAACATTGCATTCATCCTGTTTTTTCTGGAGACGTCTTTAAATCTTAGATCTGGTTGTACCGGTGCAGCTAGAAAAAGCCAAAACTCTTGTGTGTTAAACACAATCTACTTAAAACGGACAACCTCGTTTTAAAGATAAACAACAAATCCAAAAAATATATGATCATAATCTTAGACAAAAATGCTATTATAAACTAGATTAGTGGATAATACACATTGCTCTTTATACTGTTGTAAAATACATTCATGAAAAACAAGATAACAAAAATCAAAAAGATAAATTATTTTAGATATAGCCAAGGCTACTATAAAATTGAGACAACATGTTTTAAATGTATAGCAGAGCTGTTTAACGAGGCAGCGACATATGATAGATAGGACAGAACAAGAAAGGCAATTAATAATCTGTCATTGTGTCAAGAATTTATAGTTTTCACTGCAACCTTTATATACAGTAATGTGTTTTTTCAGATTTTTTTGGGTTGATATTCTGTCTCTATCCGTTAAAATAAACCTACAATAAAAATGATAGACTCTTAATTTCTTTGTAAGTGGGTAAATTTACAAAATCAGCAGGGGATCAAATAATTATTTCCACCACAGTACCAGTTTAGGCATGTTAAAGTGCATTGTAATGCATTCATGTTGCCATTTATAAAAATACTTAGTTTGACTATAGTTGTTTGTTATAAACCCAACTAAGTCAGTATCTGTTGTCACAAATTTATGTAAGCAAGCATCATTTCCATCCACTACAGTGTTATGAGGCTTTTCGTTTGTAACTACTGATGAGAATAAGAATAATAGAATGAAGTTTTGAAAGAGAACTCCAAGGATAGCAAAGACGATTGTTTAGTATACATTCATGACACTTTATTAGGACAAACACATTTTAACTAGTGATTTTGAACAATAAACCCATTGACATCTCGTATATGCACATTCCAGTCGAGTTTTGAGAATGTTGTCTGGAATGGGTCCCCTCCCTTAAAACAATGTTACTGTTTGTGACTGTCAATGTACAAGCCTTACACAGAAAATGTAGTGCCTTCACTAAAAAGACAAACCAGTGGTTTCACTCATGTGCTGGATAAATAACCCTGACACAAAGTTAAATGTTGTTAATGTCCGTTGAGTTAACACTAAAATATTGCATACATACTTTTTTTGCTCTGCAAAAAAAACAAAAAAAAAACAACAACTATAAAATCAATGCAATGAACAACATTGTGACAGATTTGAAACTGATCCATCAACTGCATATGTTCATCATTATTCTTCAGATTTCCATGAAAATATAGGAACAGCTTAAATATCTTGCAAATGTGAAATGAGCTGTACATGACGTCTAATACAAGACAAGCACATCCTCTCACCCATCATACATATTTACATTATATTTTATCTTCTTTGCAATTAGGTCCTCATAAAGAGTGCTATAAAAAGGTCATATGTTACAATGATCACATCTCTTTTCTCAGCTCTTACAGGTTTCATTGCATTGTTGAATCCTCGATACCCCTGGCAAAGAGACGCACTAGCTGGCCGTGAACTCTGTGGAAAGAGTGTCATATTAGCAATCATTCAAATGAGAAGATGCAAAGTATTTGGCTTGAAACTCCTTAAACTTCCACTTGATATCATCATTATTCACTACGATTTGCTTACATCATTGGAGCCAGACGTTTGAGCCAAATAACATATTTAGTTGTTTTTGAAAGAAGTCATTTTTGCTGAATTTATTTGATAAAAAATATAATATTAAATATTCCTGTGATGGCAAAGCTGAATTTTCATCATCATTTACGCAATATAATTTAATATATTCTTGTAATAATATAAGTCACTTTTGATCAAATAAATGCATCCTTGCTGAATAAAAGTATTAATTTCTTTAAAAATAGAAATCTTACAGACCCCAAACTTTTAAAAGGTTAGTGTATGATTATTAAACAGTTCTTCCATGTGAATTTCCCTCTTGCTAAGTCACACAACAACGTACCTGCATGAGATCTTGGTGTGAGGCAGAATTTCTCCATCACAGTTCCACACGGATACCGAGCGAGGTTTGGTACAGCAAGGCCCACATAGTAAGCCTTGTCCCTTTAATCTACTTGTCTCACTTCCTCTCTCCTTCCACCCTGCGAGATGCTGCTGTGAGTGACCTGCACTGTTACCATGGCACAGTTTCTCAGGTTCCTCCAGTTCTCTTTCAGCAGAGGCCTGAATTTCTCGATCAGCCTCTTCCTCGTATTCCTCTTCTTCTTCTACTACTTCTCCAGGGGGTAGAGAAAACCGAACAGCCTTGACACGATGAACTTCAACGAAGGGCAGGTCAAACTGAAACGATAGTTGCTTCAAATGTGATTTTTCTGTCTTGTTCAGCCTTTAGCTCAGAGTTTATTTACTTGAATGTTATTTGGTTTTACCTGATCCTGTTTGGTTGTGTGCCTGTGAAGGTATGTGAGAAAGCCAAGAGGATTAGTTTCTCGGACCATGATGAGGTCCGCCGTCCCATCGGCCAGGTGAGCAGACGGCGAAAGACCCGTTGGGCTCCGTGGACATGAGCTTGACATACAGGTGAGAGAGACACACTTGAACCTGCCTTCAATAGTCACCCACTCACCTGAAACAGTGATAAAAGGTTAAAGGTTTTTTTTTTTCTCAATTGTCTACATCACAAGTGCATAATGGCTTTCTAGGACTAGCAATTCACTCGTCGGTACTTAAATGACAACCGTCAAATAGAGACGTACAACATATGAACCCCATAGAGACACACAGCACAGTGTGATCCCAGTAATAGGGTCTCTGATTAGATGATATACAGATAATCATTCTATAAACAGACACCAGATGGTCTTACCATCTAATTCACTGTTGCACTGGCTCACATTAGTGCTATAGAGGGAACTGGAGCTGTCAAAGCGGGGGAACAGCCTCTCTTTGCTCTCCGAACAAACACGGCACCTGCACACACACACACACACGCTTTTAAAACATTTATGGGATCCAAAGCTGCTTCGAAGGAATATTTCACCCCAAAATTAAAATCCTGTCATCATTTACTCACCCTCAAATTGTTCCAACCCTTTATGAATTTCTTTCTTCTGCTGAACACAAACGAAAATATTTTGAAGAGTGTCGGTTGACTTCCATTGTATTCAATGGCCCATCAACTGTTTGAGTTTCCATATTCTTCAAAATATATATATTTGTGTTCAACAGAAGTAAGAAACTCATGCAGGTTTGGAACAACTTGAGTCAAAGACTTCTCATTCATTTCTATGGTATCCGCAAACAGTGATTGAAAGGCTGTAATGTGACAAGTTATCAAGGCACATGTGGCCGTTGCACTTTCTGCAATCATAGAGCCACGGACCCTGCTATCTCCCCAAAATAAGACCATCTCTGCTAGGAGTTGTACAAACCAAGATGGTGTACTGTATAGCATAATACCAAAGACTTTATATAAAGAAAGACGGTGCACTCGACCCGGATTCGAATCCACTGTGAGACAACAATGTGTCCCTGAGCAAGACACTTAACCCCTAGTTGCCCCAAAGGCATGCGACTTCTGACATATATAGCAATTGTAAGTTGCTTTGGATAAAAGCGTCAGCTAAATGAATAAATGTAAATGTAAATGCTTCAGTTGCCGCAGGACAGCCAATAGGCACGCGAGCCGTCTTGCCAATGTCTGCATGACGCCGCAACACGTAGCTTGTCTCTTTTCCTTTGAGACAAGCTACTAGCTATTCACCAGCTAGTTTTCTTCCATTAGAGACCCAACTGCTTGAGCGGTCATGGTAACAGCCCTAAGGAAGGACCTCTAATTCAGAAAAACACTGAGGAATTCAAGCTAATTGTGTTATTTTTTTAATGAGGTAACTGCTAATAACACATAATTCTTGAAAGAAAAAGCCACACTAATCAGAACACTAAGGACCCAAACTAATCTAGTAGTCATGGATCCACTCAACACATCCACACATACAAACTCTTCCAGCTATTGTAGCTGTATCAGTCATGTGGGATTTCTTTCTGTTCATGCACATATAGTCATATCCTTCTGGTTCCTGCGGGGATTTTGCACTGTTGTTCAACCTGTTGCTAAAAATGCTCCTTAAAGTCAATATTTTCAAATAAAATGCTCCTAATGTGATTTTCAGGTAAAACGACAAAGACAAATATTTACCCCGAGAGGCACTGAGTTTTGTCCCGTGGGCTGGAGATGTGGGAATCAGCAGGGAGATATTGCACTAGTCCCGGATAGCTCCTGTTACACAGGTACACCATACAACCTACAAAAAGAACAAAAATACATGACAATATGAGCAGAGAGGGGATCGAGGTAAATAAATAACAATAAATAACAATAAAAGTGACAATAAATACACATAGAGAAGCATCTTGCATTTTTTAATTATCCCATAATTTACTCACCCTTAAGCCATGACTATATGACTTTCTTCTTTCAGCCGAACACAATTGGAGTTATATTAAACAATATCTTGGTTCTTCCCATCCTTGTAATGGCTTTGAAAAGTGCCCAAATTTTTGAAGCTCCAAAAAGCACATCCATCCATCATAAAAGTAATCCATACGGCCCCAAGGGGTTAATACCAGTATATGCCTTCTGAAGATAAGCGATGGGTTTTTGTAAGAAAAATATTTATATTTACAACTTTATAAACTATAATCACTGGCTTGCGGCAACGTGCTTGTGTCGAGCAGGACGTCTTTTACTTTCGTTTTGTGTTTTATTTTATGTTATAAAATATTGTTGAAACTTCGCCGGTACCCGCCTCCTTCTTCCCATATCACCTGAACCTTGTTACAGTGCGTTAATGAAAGGGTCGAGTTCTGGCGGAAGGGTGACCTCTGACCCTACATATGACTCCTAACCCTACGTATGACATTGGACTCATGATGTAGGCTTGGGTAAGAATAGACGGCTCTTACTAAAAACCACATAACTCTTTCGTGACTACGTATATGCCAGTTTTAAATATGGATATTTTTCTTACAAAAACCCATCGCTTCACAATTTATTCTATACAAAGATGACAAGAGCCAGGATATTATTTAACATAACTCTGATTGTGTTTGGCTGAAAGAAGAAATATAGTCATATACACCTAGGATGGCTTGAGGGTGAGTAAATTATGGGATAATTTTTATTTTTGGGTGAACTATCCCAAAAAACTAGAGAATGTGCAGTATTCAGAATCAGTATTCAGTCTAAAATGTATTTTTAAAGACAGTTGACACTTGCCGTCCATACCTGAATAATCATATCTGAGAGGGCCCATCCAGCGGTGCCTCTCGCTCTCTGCCAAAACATCGCCATAGAAACCATAGCCCACCATAGACACAGAATAACGTACCAGTGTTTTTTGATAATGGACAGAACACACATCCAAAGGCTGAGAGTCTCCTGGTGAGAGAAAAAAAGGAAAAATATCCAGTTATGCTATTCATCATCATTCACATTTTTTATTACTTCTATTAAATTTTATATTGTGTTGCACAAGGGCAAATCTTTTTAATTGAAGTTTGTTTTTAAGATAAAAAAACTCAAGAAATTAACATCAATATAAATGTATGAAAACTTAAATATGTTAATAATTCAAGGGTCAACAACCTTCAGTCACACCACGTGTTATCAATGGCAACATGTGGAAAGACAGAGAGGAACATTATTTTTATATTCTTCCTCAATTCGCAAATGTTTTAGGGCTGCTATCCCATAGGTCGAATCAATTGGGTAACATAGTGCCATTAGCACTCATGACAGCATTGCAGTGGTTATGAACTTTTTTATTGCTCTTAAAAAAATGCAGATTACCAATGATGATGTGCAGCGTCGATGTCACAGGGTCATTTATGCCCACGGTAGCGAAACACACACAATCTGTAGAGCCTGTGGAGAAGAGTAAACACGAGGGTAAACTAACACTCCTCTCACTATCTTGACCGTGCATCTGAATGACACCGTGTTATGAACAGACCACAATCAACGCCCTTTCCCACACTTATATCAGTCACGGCACTATGCAAACATTCACCTGCTGGAATTATGCCAATGTGGAGGTCACATGGCTGCAGCATTACAGTTGGGTCATGTTCTGAAACTCCCGCCTCCTGCTGGGTTCGTCCAATCACACCGTGCAGCAGCTCGCTGAACATTCCGTCTCCGCCCACACATATCACTCTGAATGGGTAAAAAGATTTCACTGGAAAAACGCAAGAGCTTAATTTCCTAAAACCTTAATTTAGAGTATTATCAGCAGGCTTTCTCAGAATATAGTGACGCATATTTCTGGTATTTAGGCAACACTTCTGCTTTAATAACAAATACAGAGGACAGGGCTTATGTGACATGAATTATTACAATGACACCATTGTTACTGCACTGCACTCTTGAATCTTTAAATAATTTTATTATTATTGTTTTAAATAACTTACCCATCAAACCCTGTTAAGTCTTTCTTCAGGATGTAGTCTCTGGCCTGATTTGCTCGTTCAGTCACTAAAAACAAGAAACATCCCCCAGATGTTTTTTTTTTTTTAAGTCGCTGTATATTTTTTAAAAGGAGTCTTATAATGTGAAACATTTCCTTGATTTTTTTTTTTTTTTAAATGAAAGAGTTGTATTAAGTTTTCAGGGCATAAAGCAATTCAAAAAAGTTATTTATTAAAACTGAACAACATAATTGGGTTTCTGAAATTACATTACAGTATGTCAAATGGATGAAATAAATATGTCACATGATCCTTCAGAAATCATTCTAATATGCTGATTTGGAGTTCAAGAAACTTTTCTTATTATTATTATCAGCACTGAAAAAAGGTTGTGCCGTTTAATATTTTTTGTGGCAACTGATCGGATTCTTCCATAAATAGAAAGACAACAGCATTTACAGTAACTGTCAATTTTGGAAACATTTATATATATATATATATATATGAAGAGTTCAGATGCAAAAGCCTCTAAATGCCATTTGAAATTTTCTTCTTTAATGATGATTTTTTATCAAACGTGTATATTTAAGTTCAGTAATTTCACTTAAATGGCAATGATAGTTACCTATTAATTGTTATTTAAGTGAAATTAATGAAATAAAATATACAAGTTTGATAAAAATCATCATTAAAGAAGAAAATTTCAAATGGCATTTAGAGGCTGAATTTATTTGATCAAAATACAGTAAAAAAAAGTAATATTGTGAAATATTACTAGAAAATAAATAATTAAATAATAATACATAAATAATACAAAATAATTGTTTTCTATTTTAATGTTATATTTTTGATTAAATAAATGCACCCTTGGTGAGCATAATATTCTTATAAAAATGTCAGTGTTTTCAAACTTTTGACAGGAACTGTAAATTAAATATTTTGTAACATTATAAATGTTCCTTTTTACTGTCACTTTTGAGTAGTGATAGTTGATAGTAGTGTGTATGCATGTAATTTAATGTGTGTGTGTGTGTGTGTTAGTGTGTAGTAGGATATGCTACTTTGTCACAAGATTCCATTTATCTGACTACATAACTTCGCTACTCAACTCAGCCCTCTTCCCAAGTCCCGATAAAGATCTGTCGATGTCACTTGAGAACTGTACTACCTGACGTGCTGGCAGTATCAGAGACCAAACGGGGGGGGGACACTTGATAACTGTTCAGTTATTGAACGGTACAGATAAAGTCTCAGTATCTCACCCACAACATGAGAGCTGATGCCAGCCAGCTCAAACAGAGGGGCCACAAGAGAGTGAAAGATCTGTTTCCCCCTCTTCTTTCCTCCAAAAGGGTTAATGAACACCAACAACCTGTGGGGACGTGAGGGGCCTGATAGAGGAGAAGTAGATGAAGGGAGAGATGTTATTAGAGAATAATAAGTCTGAATGAATGAGAAAGGGCATTATTTCCAGCTTGTACACACTGTGGGTTTTGAGTGCGGTTCGGAGTTGAGTGATCCATTGATCCCGGACGCCCCGGCTAGGACAGCAGAACTGGGTCCTGCCCAGACTCCATGACAGTCCATGTCCGTTACCTCTGCTGTTGCGCTTCACATAGAACACTTGTGATAAGAAACAGACAAAAACAAGGTTCAAAAACAACTTTGTTGTATTTGATCCCTGTGCAAAAAAAAATAAATAAAAAAAATCACTTTTAGAAACTTACATGTAAAATCAAGGTCGGTGTCTTCTACTTTCTTCTGGGTTTGGATCTCAACACGACCTTCCTTCACCCCAATCACCTCTGACACCGGCACTGAAACTAAGAACGACAGACCGATGCTCTTGAATAAGTGATGTACATGTGTCTCATATTATCAAGGAAGATTCCACCATTCCTACTCAGGCCTAGTTGCACAAGGTTGTCAAGCCTGGATGGTGCTGTTCAACTTGTTTTGAGTTCATCAGAATGCAGACAAAGACAAATTGCCAGTAAGAAGGGACTTTTAAACAGTATTTTCATGCATAAACTGAGCATTGAGCATAGACATGCATGTTTATGGATTATTCCTTGAATCCAATCCAGCTAGATTATGTTAGACCAGCATCTATACTGTCAAGGAAATAGGATACACATTGGATAGCGCACAGTGACTTTAACTTTTTTCTATATTTACTGTCAATAGTTCAACTAATTGTAATTGTACACCAGGGATCAATGCACTACATGGTGGTTAATTATCTACAAATAAGAGAGACTTTTAGACCCCGTTTACACCTGGTATTAAAATGCGATCTGTATCCAGATAAGTTATCCGGATAATAAGTACTGATTCCATTTACATCTGGCCACATAAATGTGTTTTTGCAAAACGGATATAAATCCGATCTTCACCTCCTGCGTTATATGCAGATTTATTGGATTGCACGCCACCAAAAACAGATCTGAGCGGCATTTTATTGATCATCAGCTAATTTCCAAATCCGAGACATCAATAAGAGAGAGTGGCAACAGGCCTGGTAAGATAATTTCGTTTCTTTACTTGAAGATGTGTTAACTGCGTCTGTGACTTACTTTCACTTTTATTTGCGATGTTTGCACGTTGAATAGACGCTCAGCTGCTCATCTGCGGTGATGCGTGTCGCATCTGACTAGGCTATAACATGACATAGCCTATATATAACAAGCTCTCACTCGTTAATTTTTTTTTGCAATTTTGGGAGGAGTAACATATACATGGTTTCAACAACCAGATTGCGTTTACACCTAGTAAAGATCCGGACACAATGCGAGCCAGACTACCTCCAGATGTGGTCAGGCAGATCCGATCACGATCCGACCACAACGCGTTTACACCTTGCATTAACATGCGTTTTTTATTATCCGGATAACTTATCTGGATACAGATCGCATTTTAATACCAGGTGTAAATGGGTTAGTCACCGATGTGTCAGAGGTGCACCCAGGTGCTATTACATTTCTTATTCTATTTAATAATTGCAAATGATTTTATTACTATCGTTTGAAATAATGTTTTGGATACTTCTTAATAAATGCTGTTAACTTGGGCTCATATATTATTTAAAACATTTTTAATTAGGCCTAATAGTAGCCTAGTTAATACTAGTCTACTACATGCACAGCTGGTCATGTGATGTCAACATGGCTGGGCCCATTAGGGGTCGACCTTCTCCTTGTAGAATTGACTTATTTATTTTTAGATGACTGGACTCTTCATCTCATTTGAGTAAACATCAATTTAATAAAATTCTCAAAGGTGCTACATTTCTTTGCGTAAAAGTAGCCTATATAATTAGTAAAACATTGTAAATGTGCGAGTCTGCCTTTAATCGAATAATAATGATACATTATACATATAAATGTGCGGTTACTCATCTACAAATAAGAATGACTTAAAGCTCCATTACAAAGCTGTATCACATGTAATTGTGTCACTCCCTAAGAACACCCATACTATGACCTTGAGTATTACACTTTTGGCATTTAAAACCAATTTAGATATATACATATTATCTATACATTTTTTTAATAACAAACAACTGTCCCAAAACTTTGAGCTGTCAACCTAGACCGCGTAATTGGATAATAAATGTCGTACTTGTTTTCTTTTCCCGGTTCCTCTTGTCGATCTCAGTCCAGCTGAAGTACCATCCGCTCAGGAGAGCCTTGTAGCGCTTATTACCGATCCAAACACTCGACTCAACTCTCACCGAATCTATCTCCATCGTCTCTTTGGTAGTTTCATTTAAATATAGAACTTATACTTCCACAAGCAGTTGCCTATTCAGCGGTATTTTTATCCATGCAATATGTCCAAGTTGGCCAAAACGTCTAACATCTGAAGCGAACAAATATAAGCATAATTTAGACTTCGTTTAAAAAGAGTCTCCAAGTGTAATAAATACGTTTTTTTTGTAAGTAAGGTAGGATCCGGTAAATTATTTCGGCCTTGTCTTCGCTATCCTCTGCTACTTGACTGTACCTTACAGGCTTTTTTTATAAAACAAGTCCACTTCCTTTTGAGGTAGCGCACCTGTACTGGAAAAATTTGCATACGCAACGCTCATTGGATAATGATTATGCAGAAAGTAACCGTAATTCATTCGCCCATTCAACATTTTAAACTTTATAAAATAGAAATATTTTAGTCATTTCCTCATTGTTTAATATAAATACTGTCTGTGCAGTGGTGGGCGGAGCTAGTGAAAATAGTAGTAAATAAATACTTAGCTAATGTAAATAGACAAGTTAAACGTGTAGATAGATAAAACACTTTAGAACCTGCTGGAAATTCAACTTAGATACAAACATGTAAGTTTGTCCTTTCTGCATCCTTTTGTTTTTACTGTCAACATGCAGTTGGAGTCAATGTGACTGTATGACTAGATGACATGACACTTCATAAGACACTTCAACCGTCTTTTTTTGATGATTATAGGCCTACAATAATTAAAATTAGTCTGAACACATGCAATATTGGCATTAAATGTAAAAAACAAAAAAAAAAAAAAAACTATAGTGTCAGTCTTGTTTGGATCCATGCATTGAGCACGCTTTACTCATCTTTTACCCATTTTTGTTTCTGTCCGTGTGTTTCTTTTCTTCCTTTATGCAAAGCTGGAAAGTTGACTTTCCTGAAAATCTGCTTAACCCGACTGACTGAAAGGGTTCCCTAAAGAAGTTAATCACCCATCTGAACTTTAAAAACAAAAAAATTGTCTGCACTTACTAACATGTTAGAATAACAACAGTTTTGGCATATCACGTGATCTGTTAGTGCCTTTGGCATGTTTCAGAAACCATTGATTTTTGGCAGTTTTGTGCCTTTGTCGCTAATTATTTTTAATCTTGCATGTAATATTTTGTATGACATACCATAATGTATATTATTTTAGACATTAACTGCAATGGGAAAGACACAATGTATATCCTCTTCAATAAAAAAAAAAAAAAAAAAAACCCTTTTCATTGTTTTCCAGTCTGTTCTGTAATATTATAAAGCGTATTATAAAGCACTTTCATAAAGCGTATACTTCAGAACAGTTCCTTCGAACCCCCAGCAGGTGGAGACAGTGGCTTAGACAAAAATAAATACACCTGAAAATGTTTTTTGCTACATCTAACTGCGACAATAAGTAAAATTATTAAAGATTTACAAGTTTTTACCAGTTTTCAAGATGATTATTCAATATCGTTCATGTGTTCCTTCCAGGCACCATTCATATGTTCCCTTAGTTTCAACTTTGTCATTTGCACAACATGGTTGTGAGGGGGTCAAACAATGAAAAGGGAAAAAGGAATGTAGCATGAGTCATCTGATGACAACCTACTACTTTGTCAAATGTGACAATGTGACATCCATTTTGTGTCAAAAGAAACATGCATACATCTGCATTTAGAAATTTTATACAGATACAGTGATGCATCTTGGCAGCTTTCTTCATAATTATAGTTTACAGTGTTGTTTTGGAGTTGCTAGAGGGAATCCAGCTGGGTAGATGAGGTCTAAATTGAAAGCAGCTGCTTTATTTTGTCCCAGTTATGGATGTGACGGAGCATGTAAACAGATCCTGTGCAGATGTCCTTGTTATATTGAATGGAGAAAACTCTGAATGGCTGAACAGAAAGAGATGACAAGTGATCAGTTTTTTTTTTCCTGAGGGAAACCTATTTTTTATCATATGTTTTGATGTTTAAATGCTTTTTGATGCACTTGTTTGAGTCAGTTGATGTCAAGGATAAGCTATCTCTGATGGCTTTACAGTTTTGTAGATGTATACATATGATAAAACTGTACGTTGATATAGATATTGAAAGCTGGGCTGAAGAGATTACTAAGAGACATTTTACAAATATCTGAACTAATCAAATATAATGTAACTGGAAGTTCACATTGTTAATAGAAAGACTTGTGCCAATTTCAAATCATACACTCTAAAAAATGCTGGGTTGTTTTAACCCAACTTTGGGTCAAATATGGACTAACCCAGCCGTTGGGTTAAATTTTTACATTACATTTTTAACCCAACATTTCGGGTTTGTCCATATTTGACCCAAAATTGGGTTAAAACAACCCAGCATTTTTTAGAGTGTAAGAATAACCAGCTGCGGTCAACTGGACATCTTTCAGCAGAGAGTTTTCATAGTCTCATAAGTTTTGCGTCATTAGGTGGTGCTACTGCCACAAAGTGATCTAAACCAGAGGATATTTGGCTAGAGACATAGGAAGACCAGACTCTGTTGTGTTGAAGTGTTTAAGATGCACTTATACAGATAAATAGGCCTACTCAGGCATCATAATCAAAACTGAAATGATAACCTTGGTGTGATTTAACAGTTTTACTTTCATAAAACAAACAATAAAAAAATAATAACCAAAGTGTAGCCTATTGTTTCTTTCTTTATTTTCATATTAAGTAAAGATCATGTTTATGAAGATATTTTGTAAATTTCCTACCGGAGATATATACAACATTTATTTTTGTGAGTGAATGCAGCACAATCGTGAACATTAATGGACAAATTTAATCTTCTCACTGTTTCGATTTTTTTTTTTTTTTTTGCATCTTCAGATTTTCAAATAGTTGTATCTCGTCCAAATCATATCCTTACAAGTCTTAACCAAACAAAATTAATTGACATTCGTGGAATTATCAATTTTACGCGAGTTGTACTTTGACACAGCATAGCGCAGATGAACACAATGTTTGAGGAGACTGTGAGGCTGTCAGTCACCTTGGATACTGTAATTCCGAATTACAGATTATTCTTTTATTCAAGCTTACCGTTTTGGTTGGTTGTGTTACACCGGCTGGTTGTGTATTTTCTCAAAAATGTATTTTGGATTATTTATTATGTATCATTTAGCTGGGCTGCAGCTTTAAAATGATCGAGCTTATTTGCGTATTAAAAACATCTAGTAAAGTCACAGTGCACATCATATGTTGTGTATTTTCATTTCATTAAAATAAGAAAAAAAATGTAGTTTATGTCACATATGTAGCCAAATATTTCCTGTTAGTAGAGGCGTAGTAGTCTTCCCGCTCCTGGAGTAAGATCCCGCTCCTGGAATTCCATTCCGCCTTTTACACCAGGCGCCAATCCTTGCGTCTCAAATCCTTGTGAGCTACCTAAACACCATATTTGCGTCATAGTTTTGGGACGCTTTCCGTGTCAGCTGAGAAAAGCTCACTATGCTGTCTAGCTAGTCAGCTTACTATGATTTGAAACAAAGCCATTGTCAGCAGTTCAACATTATCGCGCTGAAGTGATCCGCTAGGCAGTGCATGCTGAACTTTCTGCCTGTCCATTGCAAAGTAGGACCAAGAGAACAAAACGGATATTCACAAGTCAACCATCAGTTTCTCTTGGTTGTATCTCACAAGCACTCAACAGCAGACAGTTTTTTTTCTTGTTTTCTTTTTTGTTTTGGCAAATGAAGTCCCACCAAGCGTGGGACGGAGAAACGACGGCGGCCTTGCTGTAAAAGAAACGCTTGAAAGTTTTCGCGAAGACATTTCCTAGTGGCTTCAAGTGACGGACTTTGATTTTCCCAGCGGTGTGTTTGGAGTCGTGCTGGGTTGGCAGAAATGGGGACGCGGATACGTGCCCATAAACTCACTCTTTTTATTATCCCTTTGATATTTACGTCGCATCTGTTCAATGTAAGTGATTCATCTGCATTTTTATACAGTTAATATATAACGCTCTGTGCTGCTTTTGTGTAACAACAGGTAACTGTATCAATGGAAATGCACGCAAAAAGTGACTTAGCAAAACTTTGCGTCGTAATATAATCCACTTATTTCTAGCTCCATTCCTTTTGCAGCATTTAGTAGTCTAAAGCTGCGAATTGTATCATGTGAAAGTTATGCCGAGTTGGATTGATGTCTTATGCGAATATCTAAAGCTCGACTCAAGTGTAGCGTGTGTGTTCTAGTCCTTGGTCTAATTTTATCCATAGAAACGAGTTATTCATAGTTGGTCTCACTGGCGTCTTGCGTGTCTGAATACTAAACTTTATTTATCATTTGACACCACTTTCACGGCATTGATTTGATCATCTATGCTCTTCATACATCACATAAAAGCACAACTTCTACATAGACTTGCTTATTGACTCAATGTTTGTGCTGGGCACTCACGTAGAAATTGGCACCTTTGTGAAAACTGTCTTTGAATTCTTGCTTTCATTATGACTGTGCAGTAAATTGGCATCAACCGGAGTAATATTCAAGAAAAAGTTTGATAAAATATATTACAATTAAAATAAAGTGGCTGAAGGAGGAGGCAAAGCAGCCAATCAAATCATTGGCTATGAGATAATAATTTAATGTGAAAAGCATTCTCAAATTTCTTAGTACCACTTCCAGCCTGCTGGTAGATTCATTTCGACTTTAGTGCTTATGTAGGTGGAGAGTTACTCGGAGCCGGAGATACTGACTGAATTGATCTGTTGTAAATGGAATAGCATGTGTAATGACCTTAACCACACAAGGTTACTATTGTTATTCTAGTTCTTGTAAAGCATAAGAAAATGTACTTTTGCTTACCAAAAACCACCGCCCCTCCTGTACGATTTGGAGTCAATTAAACTAGTTAGCTGAAATGAGTGATGTCTTGGAGCGCCTTTGATGTTGAATCCTTCAAAAATCCTCTGGATCACATGCTAACGGAAAGTCTTGTCATGTATAACTTCAGATTCTTTAAATCTAGCATACCATGTATAATCCCTCTCTTATCATTTAGACACTGGTGAACATGAGCCTCTCTTAGTTTACTGATGTGTAACAAGGCCAGGGGCCCATTGCCTTTGCTAGTTTGAGATCTTTGTTGCTTTGTTTCAGGGACCACTGGGTCAGTTGCAGTATAATTGAATTAAATGGTATTGACGGCATGTGTTTTTTCCATTACAAGCTTGCCTAAGATTTGACAAAGAGTTCAGTTAAACACTCTGGGATTCAGTTGCCACCGGCATCCCTGGTGGTGTCCTTCTGGAATTT